TTATACAGGGTGTCTTCCTTTTATAAATGATCCATGCAAATATCTCTAAAAATATGAAAGATACGGAAAAACGTTTCAAACAAAAATTGTACACCACAATGCCCTCAGCGGTTTACCCCTCGCCATTATTTTAAAAAAAGTGCAACATTAAATGCATGTTGCAAATATATTAATGCGTATAAAAAGATCAAATTGTTTATTATATGAGTTTTTAAATTATCTGATCATATCTATTATTCTGTGTGTAAATATATTAACGTTTCGTAGAGCAAACGCAAACGGTTCACGAACACTTTCAATTACTCATGGAGGATAACAGTGTGATCGATCCGGAAGCACCGGATGTAACACCTGACAGCCTTCCGAAGTGGTACAATCAAAATTTGTACAAAGAGTAAGTGTCTACTTATTGATTTAAAATTTCAGCACAAGATAACAATTATTGCATTGATTCTTGAAGTATGCAAGATAGATATATTTTTATTAAACATAAAGAACGAATCGGCTACGCGTCTTCTGCGGAAAAGGTAACAAAGGAATGGTTTAGAGTACTTTAGAGATTTATGGAAGAATAAGAGAGTAACACTAAATAAAGTATAGAATGACGAACCAGATAGAGAAAAGGGTAAGGTGCTCTAGAAATTATGGAAAAAAGTACTTAAAAAAGCAGAGGAAAAGAGGAAAGAGATGTAAAACAGTTATAGCAGGAAAGTGAATAAAGACAGAAAGGGATATAGATTACAAACAGGACGGTGAGATGCGAACAAATAGAATAAGAGGATAAGGGAATAAGATAGATTTATATAATAAAGTGTGGATGAATAAATGAGGATGCGTAGTGTGAATAGACATAAGTGTAGACATTTTAAATCAATAAGACAGATATTTTTTAATAATAAAATAATCTTTTTAGCATTACCTATTTTATATTTATATGTATTTTAAAATTTAACATTTAATTTCAGAGCTCAAAAATATTATTTACGAAATATATCATCAGTATTAGCGGCAACCACAATCGGAATTATTGTAGTATTTTCAGTGGCGACAATACGAAAGGTATTAAAATTTATAATATTTTTAATATATACATAATTTAATTATAAAAAAATAAGGGGCTCAGAGCGAGAGCACAGTTACAAGATTCTTTATTTTCACATATTTCAATGGAATCGTAATCTCAGCACGAAAACAAGATTTGTTATAATAAGTATAACAAAGTATTATTTATTTAATAGAATTTTTTATTCTGTTAACAGATACTCGAGCACACAAAACGAAGTAGTTCGACTCATATGGCTTTAAAAAGATATATTGAAACTGCTTTGCATTTACACAACTTATATACGTGCGATTCAACTGATATAAACTCTAAGTGAGTTTCTTAAAATCTGATGTCTTAAATCTTTCATTGTTCATGATACAAACAAAGTCATAAATTATTTGTTCTTGAAATGCAATCGTATTTCTACTCATAACACGAATTATGCATAGCATGTTTAAGATTTAAGACTTGATAGATTAATCATGTAACAAATCATATAACACGAGCCTTTCATTATATGTAAGTGTAGCATGACATGGCGTATTAAGCATAGCATCGTCTAGTAACATAAAAAATCACAAAAATATATCCAAGCATGTAAAAAGTATAAAACATTGCTTCCTTTTTGTAAATGTATTTGCAATATTTTGATATTTAATGAATTTTTATATCTCTCAAGTATTTCAAAAGTACTGAATAAAATATTATTTAAATAAATAATAACGACACAACACAACGTCCTGTTGTAGTTCTGAGCCGCCTTTTTTATAGGTTGATTTATTAATCGTTTGAGCCCTTGTTTCATTCTATATTTAGAATTTTCCGAGTGTTTAAACAATGCAATTATTAAAAATTAATTAATTTAATGAATTAAAGATTTATTAATAAAATACATTCCAAGTTTCTTAAAAACTCCACATGAACATATAGATCAACTCAATGTAATTGCACAACCCTCAATATCTGTTAGATGGTACAAGTCGATGAATGTAATTCGTTGGTATCACAAAATGGGCAGCAAGAAAGCAAAGATTGCTGGCATTGGGGAAATTACTCAAAGAGATATGGTACTTACACAATTTGCTTTTCTTGGATACTTCTTTCTTTTTTCCGAGCATTTTGGAGTGTGCAATACATTGGAAGAAGATGAAGCGCTTAATCATTTCTGGCGTGTAAATGGCTACATGTTAGGAATCCCTGATAGGTAATGTATACGATAATGTAGAAAAAAGACTTTTATTAAACAAATTTAGTATCCGAGCCTAATATATTTCATCATATAATCTCTCTTTTTTTTATTAATTTTTATTAAATTACTAAAACCTTGGAAATACTAAAACCAAATTTCACGAAAATATTGAAGTCGCGGATAAATAATACTTAATAAAATTAAAAAGTAACACTAAAAATTAATAGCAGAATAGGTATGTTAGAGAGCTAACTTATTAATGATTTTTCTTCTTCTACAGATTTAATTTGTGTCGCAAAAACGCAAAAGAAACTATTGAATTATGTGAAAAGGTGAAAGATCTGTATAGAACTTATTTACGCGATGCTCCACGTGAATTTCATGACATAACAACATATTCTATAGATGGCGTTTGGTATGTTAGTCCCATAATTGATAAAGATGCTATTATATCATACACGTATGAATTGCATGATCTAGAATGTAAGTATTCAATTTTTGTTTTAACCCTCAAACACCGCACTAGATTAAGCTAATGGCTAGCTCATTCCCATTTTGAAACATGCAGCATTTTGACTTACACATTCTTGTAGATCACTGTTTGTTAAATTCAAGACGATCTGACTATGAATACCGGTCCTATATTTTTGCTTCGATGTATATGTATACTTCCAAATTATTATTTCTTTATAATTCACATCTCTTTATTGTTCTTAATATTTAATTCTAATATCTATATTATCGATTAAAGTAAGCATTGTTACTTTTATTTACAAAGTTGGAGATTAAGGCCGGTATTGATAGTCAGATCTTATATTCAAGACCGTCTTAAGATCATCTTTAGATACTTCATAGCCAATGAAATGTTCCACACAGCATCTTAAGATAAATTCAAGAAGGTCTTGAATATAAGATTTGACTATGAATACCGGTCTAAGTGTTCAAATTAAGATATGTTTCTTTCGTAAGAACAGATTATTAAAATTATTACTGTACGTATATACATATACACATATATATTATATATACATATAATTTTTATATAATTTCAAGTTAGTTTTATAAATCTTGCTGTACGACAGTTATCTAGAATGAAATTATATGTCTTTAATTTAGTTACTTTCATCAACATTGATAACATATTTTTTTATTTGAATTTTTATCGAAAATAATTTATGTTTCAGATAAAAAGCTTGGATGGTATAGTTGGTTAAATAGAAAACATTATGAATGCATATTTTATTTGTGTCGTAAGTATTGTACAGATTTTTATGATAATTTATTGCAATACAGCCCTTTAACTTGTTCTTTACCTTTTTCAGTTGTACCTTACGTTCGAGTAATAATGAAAATATATGGTTACTGCTTAGTTAAGCTCGTACTTTGGACTTCGCAAAACTTTCCTCTACTTGCATGGATGAAATTTGGGAGAGATAAAGTTAAGCTTAATTTATACCCTAAATATTCCAATCAGCAATGATTTAAAAAATATTTTAAAAAATATTTGAAAAACATTTTTAAAAACATTTTAAAAACCTTAAAAATAATGGGTTGTTTCCTTTTTTTAATTAAAGAAACGTGTATTGTAGCGTTAAAATAAATATTTATGTTTCTTCAAACGTTAAAATACATATTTAAAAAAGAAACTTATTCTATTATTTTTAATGTTTATAAAAATGGTTTTCAAATATTTTTAAAAACATTATTTGTTGACTCGGATACATTTAAAACAAGAGAAATAAAAATTAAATAAAAAGCCTATTTTATAGACGACTTTTAGATAATTTATGTTCTGTGATTATAATAAATATTCAATTTATAATTTTTAGTGTATAACACGAAAAACAATTGGAAAATCAATCCATATGTATAACCCCCTGTATCTAACAGATTTTTTAATATAATTTGTAGACACGCGTGTCTGACAAAATATATAAACATTTATTTTAACGTAAAGAATTATTTAACGCCAGTAGTTGACTAACCAATGTAGAAAATTGCATGACGAGCCATGGCTGGCAAATACTAATTAAAGAAATTCATTGCGAAAAATAATTTATAACATTAGTTCTGTCAACTATCCGCGAAATGACTTAAGGGGATGCTGGAGTAATTC